AATCATATCTCCTTCTGTGTCTACCTTCCAAATGCCTTTATGTCTTCTCAAAGCCTACACAAAATATGTCCGTTTATTTTATGGTGATGATGTAGCTCAGTTAATTCGACCCTGGGTGCTTGACTTACCTTGCTGAAGTACTATGGACATTGTGTAGTTTAGAGGGCCATCCGTTTTTGAGTTTGTAGTTGTAGTAGTAGGTTTTAGCTACTAACTGTGGAGGGCTACAGTCATTTTTGATATGTCATCTATCATCAAATTGCTGACCTGTAATGTCACAGTATAGCATTCTCTATTTTATTTTATGTGGGTGACCATGAAGACTTTTGGCCTAGTTTTTATCATGTTTGCACTGCTTGGAATCGTTGTGTTTTGTGAATCCGTATGTTAATATTCCTTACTAATTTGGGGAATTTGCAGCCTTGTTGCCTTTGATGTGTGTCTGTATAATCTCCTCTTCCCCATAAACATCACTTTGTAGATCCCCATTCTTGGGACGCTTAGACTGTTATTTGTAATATTTTTCCAGTGTTTATGTGCAGCACATTTTCCACTGATCCTGTTTCATCCTCTTTTATGTTTCTCAATCACTTCTGTTATTCCCAGTTGTCTGTCGTCTACTACTATGTAAGTTTTTCTTCTAGGCACTGGAAATTTTAACTCTAAAATTTCTGTCTTATCTTTGTAATACACTTTCCATTTGCTGCTGAGATTCAATGTCATTCATTTATTTGGCCAGATAAACATTATGAGTATATTGTTTTCATTAAGTCCTTGAACTACTTTTTGTGGTTGACTATTACTGTCTGCTAATTGCAATATTTATCTGCTTCTATGTTTGCTCTGTCTTCACGTTCTGTACTGTGCACAGTTAATGATTTTCCCTTGTGTCTGATGTTTTACATAATGTAGAAACACTATTCCAGCATGTTGTTTTTCTGAAGAATTATTATTTTTGATGTAATATGTATTAAATTATTTACCAATCACCATAATCAAGTGGAGAATACACTGAACCATTTTCAGTGGGTTAGTCTTAGTTTTGTCATTATCCTATGACTAATCAGTACTTCACTAAAATAGGTAAAGTTCATGATCCTGGTCCTGGGAATTGGAGTGAACAATGAGATGCTGACACAGAACCTTCACTTGATGGAATTTAGTTGCCATATTGCATGGCATAGAATGGTAGCTGATACAGCTGGCACAGCTTTTCCAATCTTTCAGTTTGGCATTCTCTGGGCTTTTCAATACCCCTAGCCTCTGTTTCCATAGAAACAATCATTTAAGGGGAGTGTACCTTAACTCGTAAAATACTATCTTTCTGTTGTCACTTTCTAATTTCCTCCTCAATTTATGCCTTCAGGAGAGCCTTCTGAGACTTGTCAATCAGATTCTATTCTATCTAACTAACTTCTGAAGTTGGGTAGTTTTCTTCCATATGTGGCTACAAATAAGGAAATCCTAGGAAAATAGAGAATAGTTGGTGACCATTTAAGTTGCCAGAGTAAAGGTGCAGTCTTAGAGCTAATTTAATTCTGCTTGCAATCTACATTAATTTCTTTATACCTCACACTATGGCACACACTTTTCTAATACTTTACATAGCTGTTCATTTAACATATCCCAAAGTGTTACAAATATTTTCCCAAGAATTGTCATCTATGTGATACATTTTAATTTCTCATGAGTGATTGTTCAATCTCACTTTTAATGTTTTTGAAATTTATTTACTTATTTAATTATCCTCTCTCTCTCTCTCTCTCTCTCTCTCTCTCTCTCTCTCTCTCTCCCTCCCTCCCTCCCTCCCTCCCTCCCTCCCTCCCTCCTTCTGTGTGTGTGAGTGTGTATGTATGTATGTGTTTGTGTGGTGTGTGTGTGCATGCACATGTGTATGCACTTAGAGAACACTTGTAGTGGTCAGAAGACAACTTTGGGGGGATGATGGCTCTCAAGAATCAATTTCTTTCTTCCACCATACTGAGTCAGTCTTTTTGCATGTTTCTGCCACTATACAGCTTGCTCCAATCTTTCTGTCCACACAAGCTTCTATGCAATCCTTTTGTTTTGTGTATTTTATGTTAGACATGCCTAGATGATTAAACCACACAACTGCAGCTGCCTTTTGAAGTGAGGATCCAGGAATTGAACTCAGGGCTTGTACCACTAGTACTTTTTCCTATAGACATAGCCTACTGGTCCACAATGCTTAACCTCATAATTTGCTTCTGTGGATATTGATCACAAGATAATACTATTAAAACTTCTTCAAATCAAGAGTTAAATTTGAAATTTAACACAAATAACATAACAACAACAGAAACAATAAATATAAATAATGGCAGTTCCTTTTGTAGTCAAGTGTGAGTAGTCATTTTCTTCATTTCTACTTTCTAGTATAGTTTTCAACTTTTAATATAATTTAATCCACATGTATAGATATAGGCATGCATATAATTTATAATAAAATGAGCCTCATTTTATTAAGTAACTGACATAAACTTAACAAAATAGGTAAGATGTTTATGAAATAAATTATTACATAATATATTTTATAAGTATAAGAGAATAAAATATGGCAATATCAGAAAACATCAAAATAGCTTAGTTCAAAGACTGGTCATCAGATAAGAAGATCCACTGAGGCACATTGAAGCCTACTAATCAAAAATAGAACAATTAAAATGGATTCTCTTAACATGTGAGAAGGCGTTTTGTTATTGAAGTCGATGATAATTTGTGGAGATTATTATGAACGTTATCATTGTGCTGAAGGATTATTATTATATGAAAATTTGTGAATGATAACAATCATTCCCATAGGGTTCACTATGTGAGTGACTAATTGAATTTATCTGAGAAAGTACTTCAGAATTTCTGAAATGTCCCATAGGGGAAAAGATAGATTCTTCCCACACAAGTACTTACATCATCTAGAAAAAAATTAGCGGATTAGTGGGCTGCCTAACTGCTTGGTTGGCCACTTAGGATATTCCATAAAACTGTCTTACTTCAATTTCTTCTAGGGACTCAGGCTGGCATTAAGTGAAATGTGTATTTTGGTAGACACTCCTGTGGGTATGGGATCTAAGGTCTTACTGATCCATAACTAGCCTGTTTTTTTCTTTCATACCACTTTTTTTGTAAGCATCTAAAATATACTTGTAGGTTTTATTCTCAATGCTATGATGAGATTAGATATAGTCCCCAACAACATGTAACTGTAGACTACCTTGGATCTGAGTAAAATAAAGTTGTGACTGTAAATGGAAACCCTGGTCTTCCTGCTGTAGCTGAGTGAGGAGCATTTCAATGAAAAGATATTTAAATTTGCTCTGCCTATGTAGAAATCACAGTGGGAAAAAGCCATTGACCTCATGTAAATGCTGTTGTTGTTTTAATTGTATTTAGTCCTCTGCAGTACAATGAAATAATTGTGCTTAAAGATACTGTCATGCACATTTCCTTGACATATCTACCGGAAGCAATCTCTTGGGCCAATATCATTGGCAGAAGCCAATAACTTTTTTCTTATGTCTGAAGGTGTAATTCTGAAGGTAAGGATGGAACTGGGACCCTATCATCTCATGTTCAATTTCCATTACTTGGGCTTCTTGCTCAAATGCCATTCATATAGCATGATCTTTTTTCAGAGAAGGTTTTGGTTTAGAGATGATACACTGGCGGTTTTTATAAAAATGGTGAGACGATTGGTTCCTCTGTACTTTTTAATGAACATCTTGCATATGAGGTGCTGATTCTACAGGATGTGGGAAGCACTTTGTCACTACCTATCCCAGTATATAAGAGCATAGACTTCCTCCATGTCTGCTTAACTAGGTTGGAATAAGAAGAGATTTCCTATGTCTCTGTGGCTCACTTGATCAAAAAAAAAAAAAGTGTGTTAATACAGGAATTTCCAATACTGATTCCAAAACATGTAAAATTAAAAAGAAAAAAAACAAAGTTCAGAGCTCAAAGAATAAACAGAAGTGTCTCCCATTGCTAATTCTCCCACTGTTTTGCCCACTGGGACATACAGGCACAAGCTAACCAGGGCCCTATTTCGCGATCTTGGTTAAGCATCTATCTCCATAGAGCTGTGTGGATCAGCATTCCATCAGATTGATTTTCACCATGGCTTGGTCTATCAGTGATTTCCTTCAATTTAAATTCACCAAACCCTTCCCTCAGGATGGTTTCCTGAGCACAGCTACCTCTTTCTCACTGCTTGTTGCCCCTCCCCCAAAACAATGCAATTGTGATTTAAGTTTACAAGATTATTCTCAAATAGAGCAAAACAAACCCTCTCTCTAGTGAGTGTTTCTAGGAGTACTAAAGCGTCTCTTTTTGTCCAATGAATGGAAATCGTAGTATGTTGCTACAGGAAAGGGTTAAAAAGTGCTGGCAAGAATTCACGCATGTGTTAACTCTTCCAGCAGCCTCACATCTCTTCCACCTTGACCTCACAGTTAATCTGTGTGAGTTAATCAGGCAAAGCCTCTAGTGAGTGATTTTTTCCTACTTCTTTTAATCAAACACACAACAGAACCAGACAAAGAGAGCACAGCCCTATCTAAAAAGAAAGAAAAGAAAGAAACGAATAAAAGATCAAATAGATAAACAACCTAAAAGGACGGACTCCTGGGAATTCCTGTGAGTGCACAGGGCATGAATGTGAGCGCCTTTCTGTTTCTCTCATTTGCCTTCCTGTATGCATCTCTGCGTGTACCATCCCCCTGCCTCAATTCTATTATCCTCCCAGACTTGGAAGCTGCTGCCTGAGCTGACGCTTTGATGGTATCTGCAAGCGTTTGTACTGATCTTTATTCCTGCCCCCCGAATATTAATTTTGAAGCTGGTAGCAGTACATCTCCTGAGTGACGGGACCTACTAGAGGGAGGTGGGGGGAGCCAGCATCAAATCATCAGCATAATAATAATACAAAGGGGAGGGATTCTTCTGCAACCCAGAGGCGAGAGGCGAGAGAAAAAAAAGCGATGAGTTCGCCAAATACATGGAGCATTGGAAGCACAGTCTACTCTCCTGAATTTTCACAGAAAATGACGCTGTGGATTCTGCTCCTGCTATCGCTCTACCCAGGGTAAGATGGGCCGTTTTCAGCGTCGTTTGACTCTAGAGAGATGTGGGGGAGAGATAAGGTTGTGGAAGGAGGGCGACCACCAAGATTTGAGACACTCTTTTGGGATTTAAGCTTTATAATTTAGGGAAGAGTGACTATTTGGGGTAGGAGAGAGACGGAAGAGAGACGAAGGACATATTGGTTTATTTGTTAATGAACTAGATTTTATTTGTTTGTGTTTTGTTTCAAAGCGCTAAAGCTCATTTCATAGACTCCGTGTTCTGAGGAATAGATTTTGAATTTGCTGCAATCTGATATGAAGTGGGCTGTGCTTGCACACGCCGGCATTTGAGGCCATATTGAAGGCATTTGGGTGGGGGTCTGGAAGAGAAAATTACAAATAGGGTCCTTGGGAACACAAGCGTGGTTTGTGTGAGGGAGGACTGGGGGCGGGGACAGAGCTGTTTCTATCATACACTACAGTCTTCTTTGGTCCTGCACCTGAGCTTTCAGTCAGCCAGGTTTTCTATCCAGCCCCATTGACCCGACAGCTGAATCCCCAATGGGCAAACACGATTCAGCACCAAGGACAGCGGTCCAGCTAAGGGCCCTATGGAAAGAGGCTTGTCAAACCATACAGCATCCCTTAATCTACAAAGGACATTCATGTAGTCAGGCCAGTGGGCCAAGATACAGCAGAGAAGCCTGGGGACCCGGCACTGGAATAATGCTACTCCTACCTTCAGGTGGGAGGGGGACTACTGCATATGAGGTAGTGAATATAGTTAAATGAATGTTTAGAAAATATAGCTGGAGCAGAGAGTTGGCCTGGCTGCAATCTTGAAAACATGCTCACCCAAGAGAATGCAATGCCTAAATTGTGAAGTATGCATGAGTGATTTACAGTCTTCCTGCACAAACAAAAGTGGGGAGGAGAACCGGTCAAATTCCTGAACATGAGTGCTCCCAGAAATATGTTTCCTCTAGATTATTAAGTACTTCCCTGAACTAAGCCTATGAGAGTAGAACATCTCCAAGCACAGTGCACCATGTTTCTGTCCATGGAGGTAGCCCTCACCACATTGCAGTTTCCGACCAGAACTAACAGCAGCCTAGAAGTCCACACTTTCCGTGGCATGCACTTCTGTATTTGCACTTTCTGTATTTGTCCATTTTGAGACAAACCACTGTACAAACTACTCCTATGGTTGTGACCTCCCCTATCTCTGATAAAAGAATGTATGAAAAACATCAAGGCACTACTCCAAAGTTTTCTTGGAAGTTGATGTAGTAGTTGTAATAATGATGATACTAATACGAATTCTAATACTAATAATAAAAGGCAAAGGGGATGTGGTTTAGCTACTCTTCAGCTTTGTGGCAGATATTTATATGTTTCTCTGACATTTTTTCTCTAGTGTTGAGGATAGAACGTGTTGGTTTTAGACATAGAGGAGAGTCAAGCATAATGAAGAGTAGAAGCGTCATTTCTCAGTGCAGGCAGGCAGCATGTGCTTAGCTCGTAGCCCTTCGCCACTTTCCTTGCTTTTTCCTTGACAATAAACATTGAGGATAGTAGATAGTTTCATTAAGAACTACAACTTGAAGAAGTTTTCCCAGACGAGGAGAGGAACACTTACTGGGAAAATTACTGTAAGTCACAAACCGTAATAAAAACCACTAAAATATTTTCTATTCACAATCATCACACATTTTCCTATTACACATTTTATGAAAGTTTGTAAACTTTGTTTTGTGAATCAGAGTATCAATAAATTGGGCCTACCTTCCCTGTAATTCTTCAACCCATGAAACCTGTGGAATAAAATCTAGACCAAACGGGAAAGATGTCTCTGTTTTTCTTATTCCCATTCATTTTAATAAACATTTTGTAACTTCCTGAGTACTATATTCTTATGTATTTCACCTCTAAACATTCCATTTTAATCCAAAATATTACTTTATTATTATGTGTGATGCAATACTACTTAAGATAGTTTTTTTCTCTAACAGCTCCACTTTTTGAATTCAGTATCGTCTAAAAACTAAAACTTGATGTTACATATTGCAATGATAAGATTATCTTTAATTGGGCTTTAAAAAAGTTTTAAATGGTGGGATTTATGTGTTATGAGAATTCCAGGCAGATAATTTTTGTATTCTCACAATAAGGATAGAGGAAGTAACCATTGTAGTTTGGTGCAGTGTATGTGATCGGAGTTTGATTTGCTGCAGTCCTATAAATGATCTGAATGGCTAAGTGTGGAAAACTGAAGCTTTGATCTCTAAACTTGGTCAGTGGTTGATGAGGGTGGTTACAATAATATTGAACAAAAATAGGATTCTAAGAGTCAATGTTGTAAACAATAGCAGGAAAATATACTGAGCATTGTAAGAGAAGAAAAGAAACATTCAATAGACATTTTTATTTATAAATCTCAAAATAAGCTTTGTTTCCTATTAAATGACTAAACTCACTAGATTGTCTCTATATCGAAGCAAAATAAATCTTAAAACAAAGCAACAGAATGAGCATATTAGAAGCTTATACCTTTCTGTAGAGTGAGAAATTAGCAAACGTAAATTTGCTCAACTTCCATGTATCTTGTTTACAACTTGTGAGAATCACTGGGAGACTTACTAAAATGGAAATTCCTAAACCACACACTGGATGATGATTCTGAGTCATGAGGTCTGAGTGAAGTCTAAGAATGTTAATTTTAACAAGTTCTCAGAGCTCCCTTTAAAGAAATAGGCCTTTAGTTTGTCTATTTAGAGAAGTGTACTTATTTTCAGAGTTAATATTTGTAGATAATTTGTTTCTTACAATTTTATTCATCTGGCCCAGGAAATTAGTTCCATATCAATAAACATTCTGATTGCATGTGAATAGCACATGGAAACCATGAAAGATTTTACTATATTTGTGTTATGTGTAAAAAGTTCTTGAAAAATTTTGGCATGTGTACCTATATAAATGTCTATGTAAGTATAGACCCAAATTCTACATACCTGAAATATACATATTGATAAGTTTGTTTTAAGATAAATTTTAAAAATTTGGTAGATTATATTAATATAACTTCATTCTGTTCCAGCTTTAAAAGATATAAACATATAAAATACAACAGAAATAAATGAGTAGAGTAGGAAACTTTTATACAAACAAAGATATTTTGATTATCAAAAATTATCTTATACTATATTTGGGATGATAGAAAATTATGTTCAAAGAATTAGATTGGTCAGAAACAAATTAGATAGAATTTTTGATAATCAATTTCAGTTTTAAGTTTTAATAATAGTTTTAAGGTTTTTACTGTATTTAATTCTGAGTTGCAGCCTAATTCAATATTTCTCTATTATACCTTCCCAGTACTCCCTCTTTGCTCAGTCTCAAATTATGACCTCCTTTAATTATTTTTTGTCACATTCAAACATATTTCTTGAATATCATTTTAATATTTGTATTTATTTTCTCTCCTTAACTGTTGCTGAATAAAATGCTCCATATGAAATATTGAAAACTGTGAAAGATTTTTATGCCATAATTATGTTTTGTGTAGATTTTAAATTTTGCAAGCCATAACCATAACCATAAAGGAAATACTATGCTTTTTCAACTTAATCCAACTTGTTTATAGAGTTAGTCTTCATTGGCAAGCTTGTTACTCTACATCTTTATAAATTCTTTACCTTGTTTTATCTTGAAAACTGCTTTTGCTTTTCATAGGCACATGTAATTGTTTTGGTTGTTGACACAGGATTCCAATTAGTCTGCCTTAAGCATTCACATGAAAGGGTAAAAAATGAGGATGTATGCATGACTCAGATTTTCCAAGAATTCTTCCTCCATCTGCACCAGAAGTCAAACACCTGGATAGCAGGCTGGGATTTCAAAACTTTTTGATTTGTTGTTCATTTGGTTTTTAATATCTCACTATGTGTTGCTCATACACGGACTCTATGCCCGTTTATAGTAGTCTGTGCTCCATACCAGTTTAAAAATTAGGTTTTCATTTAAATAATTAACTGCACAAATGCATTTCGATTATCTTGCATTCATTTTGTATTCAACTTAAAGTAATTAATTCACAGAAAATTTAATGTTAAAAACCTGTTCAAATATTTTATAATTTCTACTCTTAAAAGGAAGTCAAGACTGGTTGTAGAGACATCGTTCCTGTTGTTTGTACTGTGCTACGAGGCCCATAGTTCCTTGTTGGTTATAGCATCTTAGTTTGTGAAACATAGATGTTTAAAAATTTAAGCACAATGTAAATGTCTCACAAGCAATCTTGTCAAACTAGCATAACTTACAAGGACAGAAGACAGGTAATTGAAATCAATAATATCACAGGTAATAGCGGGTGATGTAAAATACAACCAGTTATAAGTTATATGCGCACACATGCTTTTGCACTTACTGTGCACATGTGTTGTGTTTACATATCATTATGCACACGTATCTTTCTATATGAACTCACATGCATTCTCATATTGTTACTTCTGATTTTTTTGATCTTCAGCAAACCATTTCATCTGTTCTATTATTCAGTTACCTAGTTTTTCAAGACTTTTGGCAGTGACTATTTTACCAGACCATAGTGAAGATTACATATAATTGGCACACATATATAAGGCTCACTATATTTACATACATGACAGAAGTCAATTTAAAGTGTGTTTATGTTATTGCTGACTTTGTAGATGTCTTGTCTTTCTTTAATTACCCAACTGGGAATTGTCTCTAGAACATAGAAATACTAACCACTCACTATAATTGAGTCACATCTCCAGTAAGACGATTTTTTTCTCTTGGCATCACTCTGGGACAAAATCATGGAATAGTTGTCTAAATTGAAATCCTGATGTTTTTTTGACAACCATACTGCTTGATCTACCAGATAGTAGAGTTAGAACTTCTAAGTAGTCTTCTGTGATCAATTTGGTAAAGTTGTTTCTGGAAAATCACGAGTTTGTGTCATTTCAATAAAGCTCAATTCTACTATATCAGTTTT